CTGTGATTGCTTTGACTGCTCTTTATGCAGATAAGATACTAGATACTTAGAATCCTCTTCARATCTAAAAACCTAGCATCCTTTATATAATATATGTTGTGAATGACACACAGCTACGACCATATCAAATTTGAACTCAATGGCTTTAAAAATGATWGAGTTACTGACATTTTTGTGTTTTKTAAGCTCTGTGGCTATGGTGGCCATTTTGAATTACGCTGAACTATTTGTAGTTATAAATCCAGTGATTACACTCTGCAAGTTCCATTAAAATCCATCCTGTGTCTCATGAGATAATTTAACATGCAAACACAAACATGAGCAAACACTACTGTGCTTTTGTATTTGATGTCCACTTGTCCAGTCTGACTTTTTCAACCATAATTTGTTGTTTTCATAATGAATAATGGCCACTAATTCTAATCCTAACATAACCTCTTTCATCACAAATTCCCACACAAAGCTCCCGTCTATCTGACTGATTTGGTTSTCTGACTATACGTGTAGAGACTGTCCTCATTCTGCTGAAGAGACATGCCTCTAAATGGCATCCTGGGCCTCACTGTAATTGGTTTCATTTCAGCTTGATGTTATCATTTGCTTTGGTCTGCCAGAWGGGCTGAGTTTTTTCCTCTATGTGATGATCCACTCATCTCCACTGTGAAGACGGAGCTGTAGTCAAGCAGAAAAAGTGCAGATGTATTTTCATCTTAATAAGCTGCAGTGCTGTGGGAAAGCATCCTCATTACTCATCGCAAGTCTGCTTCAGGATTGTTTTCATCCTTCTAAAAATCCTCCACTGACTCCTATTATTTTGTTTTATTTCATCTCATCTCTATCTGGAGAACAGACCTCAGTCAGGTGTTTATTCTGCTGGGTGTCAGGGGGTTTCTTCATTCCCAGAGCTCTTTCCATGGCATCCCAGCAAAGCTCTACTAGGTGTTTCGCTCAGATTGATTATGAATCCTCTGACGTGTTCAGGTGTTTTCTGACATTTTGAAACTGTAGGGAAGAAGACGGATGCTGGTATTGAGTGGGATTGTTGGGTTAGGTTAGAAGATCAACAACAGCTGAATTCTGCAGAAATCTTGAGGAAAACTTCTTTCTCCTCATCCAGCAGCAGGTTTTCTTTTGTCTGTCCTGCGTCACCGCTAACAGAAAACAGTGTTTGAGCAATCAAGTCATATCTTCTGCGGACTCTAAAGTGTCCCGTTTCAAATCAGAAGTCAAAGTTTCAAGTCCAGAGGAAGAAACAGTTTGATGATGACCAACTTCTGTTGTAGACAGCAAACTGTAGCAGTGCTTGCATCGTTTTTTATGCACATTTTGAAGTATCATGTTAGAAAAGGTGGATGGAAACGGCAAAATTCGCAAAAACTTAACACCTGCTTTTTGGATTTTCCCAAAAAATAAAAAGAGTTAATGTGCAAAAGGGGAGATGGAAACACTTACACCTTGTGTCGCCTGGTTGATTCACTCCAAGCCAGTAGATGGAAACATGTCTGATTTGCTTTTTCTCTTTTTTTTTTCCTATTTTTTTGACATTTAAAAAATTCACTCAAAACTCGCATTAAAATTGGATGGAAACACAGCTGCTATCAAAGTGGTTTTTTTTACCTTTTTAATGGCCATTCTCAAAATGTTCAAAATATTTCAGTGTTTTATAACCTTTATGCCACCATAAGTTWAATTTCACATGGTTTTAACATTGAATTTGACTAATTTGTAAGCTCTAGTTGCAACAGGAACTACCTGTTGTTGCAGCAGCCTGGAACACTTTCTGCAGGAATAAATTTTAATTGGAATAATTATAGAATTGGAAACTGATGATGATGTAAGTGTTTATAAAATGGTCTTCATATGAACAGCACATGTGTTAGGAGTTATTTTAAGACGGCAGCAAACCACTTCGTCTCGCCCTCAATATGCTGTTAGTTTGTCAATGCCGTGGTGTGTCGAGATGCATTTCCCTAACCAGTTTCACTTTATTTTCCCCCTTAACATTAGTTGTCTTAAAGGATGGTGTTTTTTGGAAATGGATGTTATTTTGCGATGAATTTTTTTTGTCCCTTTTTTTCATTTTATACTGATCATCCTGCTAACCCTGGTAACCACCATTAGAAATTATTTTGTGTTGTTCAGTAAGAAAATAAAATAAGACTTATTTAACATCCCTGCAATGTAATCTTGGCTTGTAACCTGCAGGTGGGTTTATCACATAGTCGTGAGCTATTTGAAATGGGACAAATGCTCCATGGGGAAGGGAATGGAGGATTACATTGGATTACTGCCATCCTACCTACATATATGGCAGTAGTTCATATTTTATGACAAAAAACACACTAGAAATATTCTAATATTTCAGGTAGTTTAAGATKAAGTGTCAACTACAAGCATAACATTTTCTTCGTCTCGTCAGATTACCTGGATTTATTAACGTTCTTAATTCTTCATTATTTCCTGAAAGATGAAGATGATCAAATTCTAATTCCAGCTCAATATCTTTAACTGTGAKTTGTATAATATGTGTTGATACAGCGCTGACATGCAAGGTAAGGCATGTTTCATTACAAGACCTCAATAATAATAGCATTATACTGATCAATTTTAGATTTCTAGACAGTTTGCAGCACAAACTGCCCAAGGTGAAACTAACTCCATAGGCTGTTATGCAAGCTCCTCTTATGATCTGTAACTTAATTAAATGCAGCCTTGTGTGGATTGTGTGACTAATTGGATGGAAAATATACACTGCTCAAAAAAATAAAGAGAACACTTAAACAACGCACGCTAAGTCCAAGTAAATCAAACTTTTGTGAAGCACATTCAACTCTGTACAGAACAAAGTACTCAATGCAAATATTTCATTGATTAAGATCGGGAGTTAGCGTGCGTTGTTTAAGAGTTCCCTTTATTTTTTTAAGCAGTGTATGTAGGCAACCTAAAAATTGGAATATATTGTGGCATCCTTGTTAAGAAGGAGAGTATTTTAGTGCAGTTCGTGATGAGATTTCCCGCATTTAATCCAAATAGTATAAGTGCTGAGGTTGTTGRAGTTAGTCAGGTTTTGAAGTGATTWGTTTTGTTTGWATGTTCCTATGTTCTTGTTTTGTTTTCTGGTTTAGTTTTTGTTAGTTTTGCTTTGGAGCTTTGTCTTTTAACTACCACACCAACGTTATGGCTGTCACTTATRTCCCTTGGCATACACAGACATGGTGGTTTGTATATTTTTATTAAGCTGCACATCTAACCGTCGAAATCTATGTCTGTTGTTAATGATCAAACTTGTCCAGTTCCTTGAAATTGGGAGGGCACTGCTTTAGTACAGCTAAATCAAACCAGAAATGTTCAGTTGGATTAAGGTCTGAGCTTTGACCGGATTTCCTACTGGAAGTTGTACCTCCATACCAGTCTTAAATACAGGCTTCCATCAAGAACAGYTTCCCAGTTCCTGCTGATAAAAAGACATTTACTCAGCATGGTYCTTACACCACCATGCTTCCCTTTGAAGAGGTAGTCTCAAAGCACGATRTAGTCAACGGACTTTAGTTATATAGTGTCTTTCTATCTAACCAGGAAACCTGTATGGTGGTAAGTTCAATTTTATAGAACATTTAGGAAGTCTTAAATGTGCACT